ATTCGTTGTGTTGGTCATTCCGGTCATTCCCACAGCGACCGTGAGTGTTTTTGACGTTGGTGCGTGTCTCTGAGCTCAGGATTGTGACTCATACCAGGGTACTCATACCGCGATATCCGCGCGTGATGTGTTACCGCTCCGAACTACACCGCCGGAGATCTGGCTTATCGCCATCCTGGCGAGTGTGACGCTGTCAGGGTGCCCTGCGGATGCGGACTCTGTATGGAGACTATCTCGGCCATTTTCCGGTCACCAACAGGCCTGAGTTCATTATTCACATGGTTTTCTTGGTCCTAAAATGCTTAGGCTGAATGCTAAATACTCCACGTTTAGCTTCACCGTCGCCATGTTGGCGGAACGTCACCGATGGCTCGCGGCGAGTTTCTGTCATTTGTTTTCCGCGCGCGGTCGGGCTCGCTACAGCGGCTCGGCGGGGCCGTTTTGTATGTTTGTCGATTCGCTGTTCGGTGCTGGCCTGCGCTGGCTCCCGGTCACACCCAGTCGTCGCGTTTGCCTGACACCGTTCGTACGCCCGGGCGGTGACAGCTGACTCCCAAACGTTAGTGGAGAGTCCGGCTCACTGTCACGAGCGGTCTGCTGGATGTCGTGTCACTAGTTTACTCTCGGGAAGGACCTATTTGATCCAACATTCAGGAATTCATCTCACGGTGACTATTTGTGTTATCAGAAAACGAATCCACTAAACCTTCCCCAGCGGTAGTTAAGATATTTTATCGACCCCATTCGATAAGCGAGATTTCGCAGCCGTATGTAGGATATCCGGCACAGTGTGCTGTTAAACACCCCGGCGTAGTCTCCCAGCCGTCAGCTTTCTCCCCGCTGTGTCAGCGAGCCGAGCTGTGGTCTGCACGGTTCGGGTGCAGCGCTCAGCCTGGGATGTGGCCCATGGCCGCCGCGCGCCGTGAGGGGCGTATCCCGGCCCCCTCCCCCTCCCCGCGTCGGATTAACTCGGTCGGAGCCGGCTGAGTGCCATTCTGGGGCATCAGGGACACGTCCGGCACAATGGAAATGTTTTGTTTGGTTTGGACGGGATAAGGTCAATTCAGCATGTTAGAACAGTATACACTGGTGTAGGATGAAAGGAATGTGTATGCATGAATGTGATCGGGCGGCTACCCGTACGTTGGGACCTATCGTTCCATCCGGGTGAGGTGAACTTTGCTGATGGCTCAGACCGGAGTCCCTAACTACGCGATGTTGATATTTGCGACAATTTTGTTGCATGCAACCGTAAGGCGTGATGTGTTCCAGGCTAGTGAAAAGGCGAAGTTCGTAAACGGACTTCGAAACAAAGTTCGTATACAGAGACGTTATGTGATTGCCTTTCGTGCTCTCTGATATATTGATGAACGCTGATGGCTGTCATTATTTTTTTCGTTCTCCCTGAGCCCGTTTCACTGTGACCTTTTCTGTGTCGCTGGCCTGAGTAGCGTCGTGTTACTAATGCATTTCTAGAACTGACTCAAGTATTAGCGCGTGCCGCAGAAGCGCCAGTCATCAGATCTCTAATATTTAAGCGTGTGCGTTTTGTTTGTTCAACTGACAAATTTGTGGCGTGTTTACTACCCGATAACGTCGCATCTTAGGAATGTGCTTGTCGTTATCTGCGTCCCTGATTTTCTATCCTTGTATAACCGTCCCATCGAATTCAGTGTATCGCTCTGATTCTACGACTGACTGCGCCCGTAGAACCCATAAGACACCCCATTACCCCGTCTCTAGACAGTCGTACTGCCCCCATAGTCCCGCCGTGTCGCCCCGTAGAGACCGCACGCCACTAACCGGCACGCCGTTCGCAGAGGACGGAAAGCCCAACAGCGGCCACACGGTTTCAGGCGGCGCGTTCGACGGCGTGCGCAGCGCCGACACGCCGTTCGGCTTCAACAAGTGCGAGGGGGCCGACGCCGGCGCCGGCGAGGCCGAGTGGGTGGTGAACCGCGACCGACCCAAGTACGACCCCATCTTCTTCAGCATGAACCCCGTGGACAACAAGGTCACCGGAGCAGGTGAGGATGTGACGGGTGCCGGGGGAGAGGAAGTGTTGGGGTCTGGGGAGCGAGTGCGTTTCCCTTCCACAGGTAGTGAAAGTAGGCACTGGTTTGATCTCGCCGTCGATGCGCCTCTAAATCTTCACCAAACAACAGGAAACCGACATGGGCTTGTTTGATCGTTGGGTTGGACATGGGCTCGATTTGTTTCGTAATGCGCTAGCATTCGCTTGCTGTTTCGTAAGACACCTAACCAGTATTTTGTTTTTCAACGTTGCGGCGATAGCCAATGACGTGACCTTGCATGCGATATAGCCTGCCTTACCTTTGTATCAGCAAACGAGTTTCATGATTTTACACAAAAACGCTGCTTTTAGGAGAGCTTGCGTGGGCATCGGTAAAACACTGCCAATGGTTTCCCAATAATCCCAAACTTGGCGAGTGGCTCCGTTAGCCACCGATCGATAATGCGGTACGAGTCTGCCAGACTGCTGGCTGGCCTAGGACCGGCGCCTGCCATCAGTCACCATACCCACAAGTGGCGCGGAGCCTTCGCACGCCTCTAAGCGTCGATGTTACTATGAGCACCATAGGACGCTCGTAAAATGCGATATTCAATCCCAAGCGACGCATTTCCTTCCTTTATCGTTCACATTGCATGGATTATCCCCGGTTTTCCGCATGTCCTCATTTCATTTTTTCTGGCGATTTCCTTTGTTTGCATTCATCGTTTTTATCCCCCATCTGATGCTCCTCCATTCAGTGTCGCATTCTTTATATCTCGGAGATCACACCAGGCTCCAAGTGTTATGCCCTCTCTTTGTAATGCCATTCTTGTCATTGCTACCCATGCCACCCCATGTTTCTCTGCCGGCCCCACAATCACTGACCGGTCCGCGGTGGTCCACTGGGGGCCGGCGACCAAGGCCGCTCACCGGTCCGACCAGGCTCCACGCTGTCGCCGCCGCCACACAGCCATTGTGGGCCGATTTTTGTCCCGCCGCCGCACGCCGCTGCCAGTTGCACTGTTGATTGGAGAGAGAGGGAGGCAATTAGGACAGACGGAAGTGGAGTGGACGGGTACAGAGCGGCTGGGAGAATGGGAAATACGGTCTCTTTGTGACGTGGTGGGTGGGGTTGTGCGGGTGGGATGGGAGGGATGTTGCGTGGCTGTGGGACGTGTTGTGTAACTGTCGAATGTGGTTGACATTCGATACCGTTTGTGTGGAGGACGATTTTTTTCTGTAAGGTTATGTAAACACTCGAGTCACTCGTAACGATATATATCCGATGCCCAGTAAAGCTACACTTTTTCTTTCGTTGCATCAGATTGCCAGCGAATGGTTTTGTTGTTGGCCACAGACGAACTAAAATGTACTCATTCGACTCAAACATAACGCGTGCTACTAGCCAATGAAGCTGATAGTGCACATTGAGGGCCACAGCCGCCAATATCAGCACGAGTTGCAAGGTCGCGGAGCATCCCCTCACTCGAGGCCGAGGACCGGGTCGATCCGCGGGGTCGGGGGTGCGCTGGGATCGATCTGTCGCCGCGCGCTTATCAGCCGGGCTGAATGACGTCATGTCAGCTAATCGACCTGAGCGTTATGGTCTGAGGTGTGGCCGTGTGAATTGACGGGCTGTCAGGGAGGACGGAAAACCATTGATAGATATACCGTGGTTCGTGATCTTTGAATTGTCGTGCGTTCGTGGTTTATCCGACGATGTTTTGACGTCTTTTGCGTCATTCCACAGCGGCCAAGGCGGAGATGGTCAAGTCGAAGCTGCCCAACACGGTGCTAGGCAAGGTGTGGAAGCTGGCCGACCACGACAAGGACGGCATGCTGGACGTGGAGGAGTTCGCCCTGGCCATGCACTTGATCAACATCAAGCTGGACGGGCACGACCTGCCGGCCGAACTGCCCGCCCACCTGGTGCCGCCCAGCCAGCGCGGCTTCTGAGCGGGCGCACACCGCTCATAGCGGGGCGAGCGAGTGTGAGAGAGTGACGAACGGAGCGGGGAGCGCAGTACTATCAGCGGTGTACGCTTCAGACCGGCACACCACCACGTCACGGCGGCGTTATTTTTGTACTCGGCCGCATTATCACTCGCGCGGCGCCCGCTCTTCTGCATGCTTCCTGTATCCAGTTATCCAGCGAGTCTGATGTCTTCTGAGGCCTTCAGCGGCGCGGCCCGCCGTCGTCCCGTCCCCGTTTGGCGTCCCAGGCGCGCGGCCCGCCACCAGGAGGCGCCGCCGACCAACAAATTCGTGCTTGTTCTCTGTCAGCGAGGGCGTCGCGGCGACCCTTATGTTGCTTGACGGTGCCTTTGGCCGGTCTGTTTGTGTTTCTTCAGACGGCCGTGCGAGGCGAGCTCGCCTGCCGCGTGCGAGTGTGTACCCGTAGTGTCGCTCGTGTGTTGCCGTTGGTAGTTTGTGGCTAGGCCCGATTGGTCACAGCGCACAGTCAGCTGGGTATGATCGTACCCGGAGCGGTTTCGACCCCCCTGACGAAATCGTACGTGTCGCAGAAATTAGCCGTGACGTCTATAACGATATTGAACGAATCCACGTACCGCCGCGGCGCAGTTATTGGTTATTGTTACTGGGCCACGGAGCTCTGAGCCCGCCTCGACCCACAGAGTATTCCAGATCGGTAGTTATTTATTTACGGTGTGCGCGGAGTCATTGTAACGCGTTCGGTCCGTCCGCCGACCGCACACAGATAAAAACCACATAGTCACACGGGCGCGGCTATCTAGGCTTAGGCAGGGAAAACGGTGGCGAATACACCTATATTATATATCAGATGGGCTGGTGCGTGAGTGTGGTGGTTTGGTGTGTTTGAAAATGAAAGCCTTCAGACTGCCTATATTATCAATAACAGACCCGACCCCATTTATCACCTGCTACGAGGGGTATGCCTGCAGGAGAGACTATAGTCCCAAAACGACATTGACATGGATGATACCAACCGGAATACATGCCACGATACTTAAAAAACAATGTATTATTGACATTACACCGCCGTATGACACTTTTTCAGTGGTCAGCTCTGAGGAATCCCACGAACCCCACATAGTTTACTCGTTCACCTTTCAATGAAAAGCGTCACATTTGAACTGGACTGCACTGACAACCACTGGGAATTTACTACCATCGCACCATGTCCACACAGACGTGACTTGCCTCTGCCGACTCCGCCTTGATGTGCTCTGAGGACCAGCCTTAGATGAGGGCGACCCGCCAGACCACCAGTTTTCGGTCGCTGCCGGCCAACAGGTACGGGAGGACGCTGTGCCAGCTGATGCCGCCGACCGCCTGGAGAAGGGAGGATACACGTAACTCAGCGCCCTCTACCGGAGACTCGCGTCCACATGGACCAAAGTCTCCGCTTCCTGCAGTGTGTGCGTCCAGTACAAGTGTCTGGCATGATCCACTTTTGGGAAGATCGCATCGAAATACGATCGTGCGTACAGTCTTTTGAGCGAGTTTGAATTCATGTTGCGCGAAGCAAGCTGAATAATTTTTACTTTTATGCCACACTAAAAAAAAATTGTCATACGCTCTTGCTACTCGATCACCCTTCAACTGTTCCAGCAAGCATACTGTTTCATCCAGGCCCACGAATAACTCTGCCCACTCACCATGAGATCCTCTGCGAGCGGCGCCTGGTGCACGCCCAGCTGGGTGACCTTGACCTGGGTCAGGCTGCACGTGGCCACGTGCTGTTTGGCCGTGCGCGAGAAGCGCACCTTCTGCCCACCGCCGTGGTGCACCTCCTGGTCAGTCTCCGGCTTACTGGCGAAGGAACACCGGTGGGTGTTAGAGAAAAGGCATCGCATTACCAACTGACGAAACAACATGACCATTTGGCTAGAATGCTGATGATGCGAGTGCCGCACGCTAGGGCTTCCCATGCACTCCGTAGCCATAGGCCGATGACCACGATACGTCAAGTTCCATGATTCCATCAAGTCACTACCCGCCACACCGTACCAAACACTACTCTACTCCCGGCACAGCAACTCTCCTCCAAACCGCTTTTCCCGGTCACCTCGCCATTCCCGCTACGGCCGACGAAAGCTGACCCCCGATGACCTCCGCCACAACACATCCGGTGTACGACTGACCTCAGCCGCAACACATCCACCTATGACTGACCTGAGTCGGGACACGTCCAGAGTCACCAGGCGGCTATCGTGCACGGTGGCCACGCGCAGACTGTCGAGCGGCGACCAGTCGGCGCCGGCCAGACCGGTCACGCCTGTGTGGAGGGCCGAGACGGGCGCGCGCGTCTCTGTGTTGTAGAAGGTGACTGTGCCCGAGGCGGCCGCCACCAGCAGCTGGTACTGCTCCTCAGCGTGCCAGCACACCGACATACCTGCCGGAGGGCATTCGTTTGTTATATTGGCTACACATGTCCGATACGTTAACCCGGCAGTTGCTGGGGCATTTCGCCACCCACCGTTTGCTGGGGGGGGGGGGGGGGGGCGTTAAACGCCCCCAGCCGATAACTCGAGGACCAATAGGCGCAGCGAAACGCACGAGGCGGCAAACGAAAGAGCGCGACGAGACGCTTCAGATGAGTACTTTAAAGTTGAATTTTGAGGTCACAGGTCGGGTCAAGGTCAGGTCAAACACCTGAAATCGGGCTTTCAGTAGCATGGACTTCAGGACTTCGCAATGGGCGCCTCTCGTCATAAACTCTGTCCAAACGGTGCACAATCCATCATATAAGGCCTACAAGAGTGTCAGCTCCATGTAGGGGTCAGTCAAGCATAGGTCAGGGTCAAGGTCAGGTCAACCGGGTAGGCACATAACCCCGAAAATCAAAACTGATATTCGCAGCCTGTGACACATGTTTTATGGGTAATTTGGGGCGTAGAACACGTGGGGTCACATTCATTTTATCATATGTGTACGTGTTTGGCTCAAAAAGTTCAATTTAAGAAATGCATGTATCATTGTCGTGAAGTAGTCACGAGAAATTACCAAGATTCAGTTCAAGATTTTGGAAAATGCCGAACGATAATCAATAATCGAAGACAGCCATTTGATTGTACATGGTATTGGCAGTCTAATGGCGTTTACGGCATGTCTGTATGTCTATTCTGTGATTTTATATGATTTTTTGAACATATGCCGTTTTTGGTCTAAAACTCAGAAATCATGACGTCACTAAAACCTCGATATCTCAAAAATTTTCCGACCGATTTTTTTGAAACTTTGTCACAATAAACTTCAATCAATTCCCTACAGTAACCCAAAAGTTGGGCGCGCCGTTTTTATGCTATGGCCCGGCGAAAAAAGTGGGGGCGTTTAACGCCCCCCCCCCCCCCCAGCAACTCGCGGGTTAAGTTATGTCTTCATAGCTGACTGCTCCTGAAAACAGTTCCTCCAAACTGGAGAGCCATCTATCCTCTCCGAATCTAAGAACCGCAGATTTCTTCAGACATGCGAGTCCCCGCGATCGGACGCAGACTTCTCCGTAACTACTCTGACCTTCTAGCAATCCCCAGACCTCCCCGACCTCGGTGCCTGGACGTCCTCCCCGACCAGCGCACGGTCCCGCGGCCACTCACACGGTCCGTCGGAGGCGATGCACGCCAGCGGTGTAAAGTCGGCGGCATTCCACAGCCGGCAGGTCAGGTCGTCACCGACGCTGGCCAGGGTGTCTCCGTCTGGTCCGCCGAACGACAGGTCGTTAATGTAGTCAGTGTGGCCCACCAGCGGGTGAACCTGCGGCCGACGGAGGGCGGGCTGTTAGGAAGGGCAACGGAGCTAAGCACGATTTAATGCGACGGGCTGAAAGACAAATGAAACGCCTTTAAAACGCCTTTAAAACGACGGGCTGAAAGAAATTAAATGATATGAAACCGGCTTATACGCGGCACAGTGTTGAAGTAAAGCATCGAATATGCAAAGAAAAAAACGGGCAGGCTGACTTTTCACAAAAGGGAATTTGGCACCATGAAGCAATTACTGTAGGGGACAGTTATCAGCCAACAGTCCGGGATATCTAATGCAGCAACACAAATTTACTATTTATTCTAGTCATTAAAATCATATATCGCGAAAAAAAGTATTGATAGTGCTATCCCCAGAGCACCCATGGTGCATGGCAAATGTCGTGTGCAACCGCATTACATCAGCATTTACACCAGTAGCGGCGGAACACCCTCAATTAAAGGGACCCTCCCACCTTCAAAAAAGTTAATGAATTGGCACGAAAGTGATGTCGCTCGGTTCAGAAAGAGCGAAAACGAATATCTACCAAATTTCATCGAAAAATATTCACCGGTTTTCAAGATATTAGACTTTTACTTTTGTTTACTTTTTGGGATCTCCGCTGTTCCTAGCGACTTTATTTGAAAGTGCGGCATTTGTTGCGCGCAAAGCAGCACATACCACCGCGTGCTACCAAACGTTTTAGTAAAAGATTTAAAAATCGTTAGATCTCCGCTGACGTCACAAATTCTAAGGGGGCATACCAATGCACTAGCCCCTTAGAATCCGAAAACTGCAAGTTTGAAGTTCCATATCTCCGAATTAAAGCATTTGTCGATGTTGTGAGTGCCCAAACCGGTATTTGCAGGCCATGGCCACCAATTTGGCTATCTCATCTCAAAACTAATGTTAAGGTGGGAGTGTCCCTTTAAGGGGGGGGGGGGGGGGGCACTGCCGACTTTTGGTCCCATTCTTTCCATGCAACGCCCATAGGGCTAATGTTAAAATGCCAAAATCAAAGGGGGCACGGTGCCCCGGTGCCCTTCCCCGGTTCCGCCGTCTATGATTTACACCCTAACTCACCTCTAGCGACCCGCCTTCCGTGGGGCCCGTGTGGACGTACACCCTGACACAGTGGTCGGCGCCGGCGGCCGCGAACTTCAGACAGCGAGGCACCTCAGCCAGGTTGGTCTCGCCGCTCCAGGCCAGACAGCGCACCCGCGAGTCATGGTGGAATTCATGGAGACTCACGTGCTGTAGCTGCCCGGTCTCACTGTCCTCCTGTGGGCGTAGGGGGAATGTGAGGGCTGGGGGATGGGCAGATGGGGATACCACTGGCTGATAGGGACTCAGTAAGCTAATGGGTGACTTTCAGAGGCATGGCAACAGCTGAATAGGAATGTCTTGATAAAAAAGGTGATCACCAATCATCCCATAATTTCAGCTTGAGCACAGAAAACACTTCCAAGTTTTGACTGGATGGTGCCACGCAGCCTCACGCTGCAGCTGGCCAAATGCATGCATGCTGGAATTCAGGAAGCGAAAATCCAATATAAACAATAGCACAACTAAAATCAACAAACAAAATTGGCATATGGCATGCAATTACAGATCATTGCATTTCTGTGAAGTGTGAAGTAGTTCTACTATCATTTATACTCACTGGGAGAGTGATGCGGAGTACACCAACTGAGGTAGCTGTTCCATAGACTACCAGGTCACTGCACCATGCAAATCCTGCCACTTCAACAGCATACACTCGACCATCAACGGGGATGGTGAAGGCTGGTGCTGTGGCAGCACCACTGCTGGACTGGACACTCTTTGCCACCAGATTCTTCATTGTTCTTTACTCTGCAAAATATCAACTCTGGGTTATTGCTTTACGACTAGACTCATGATCTTTCTAGTGTTGTCTAAGGGTCATATTGTCCCACACAAAATTGCTGGTATTCGATTGGCAGTCAAAGTTCAAACCAGATGGAATCTGAAAACAGGGAGCTGGGGCAATTTGATCAAGGATCTTGAACGTCGCTTGACTTAATCACGTGAAAATAAGCCTTTTAAAGCCACAGAGAGGGGGAGAATATCCCGATGATCACGTGACTAAAAATGCCCTTCGGCGCCCCGTTTTCAGATTTCACCATCAAACCCACTGATAGGTTTAGTCAGACACAGCAGTGCACATCAGTGTTTTGGCATATTAGTGTCTACTTCTATCATGGTCTTGTAAGTGTCAACGTGTAAAATGCATAGGTAGGTAGGTACCTAAACATCAATCACAAGTCCTAATTCCAATCATCATTATCCATATGATTAACAAATTGCATGTAATTGTCATATTTTCACACCTACAGCTAAATGGTATATGTCAAGTTTAGGTCCTAACTACAATTGTGGCGCTTTTGATACGAATATGAAACAGCAAAAATTTTAGGTTTTAGGTTAGGTTAGGTTGTAGGTTTGTAGGTTTTAGGTTGTAGGTAGGTAGGTTTGTAGGTTAGGTTAGGTTAGGGTAGGTTTGTAGGTTGTAGGTTGGTAGGTTATAGGTAAGTAGGTAAGGTTAGGTCAGGTTTGATTATGTTTTTTTATTTTATTTGCGAGACATATGAGTATCATTTTTGGATTCAGGATGTCAAATAATGTAAAAGTATGAAAAATTTATCAATGAAATCTTCTTAGGATTTAAACTTGACATTTACCCAGCTAAATATGATCGTGGGCTTCACTCAAGCTTCACCCTGCAATAACATTTAAATATGATTTTAATTCAAATATCTACAGCCCAGTTTTGAGTACCAAGATTATACTTTGAGCTACCGCTTGAAACCTGTTCAGTGGTAGAAAATCATAAGAGTCGACTCGCTTTTGTGTACAAAATCCGTCAGCTCATTGGATAATAATCCTCTCTAAGAAATTTTATATCCGCAGCAAACGTTTATGAACACTAACAACAGGCTTAAGCTGCGCCACAATCGAATATTTCGCGCCGACAATTTTTTTGTTCTTTAGCCCCGATATGAAAATTACTAAAATTAAGGATACGTCATTGGTACAAAATAATATTGGCAAAAAATACAAAATATATGTTTTGTTCGCTCATTATCATACTTATTATAGGTAACTTTGAATGTTTTTTTGCTGCACACACATGATAATAAGTAACGTTTTAAGCGGGTTTATCGCTTGAAATGGAGTAAAATATTATTACCTTTATGACGTCATTGTGGTCTTAATTATTTGAAATTATTCCAAACGTTATGACACCGGGCACTTTCAATAACAACGCTAACAACGTGTTGTGGGAGAGAGACTTGTGTGATGTGGCGTTGCGCTTGATTGTAAATTTGAGGGTGGTTTTGTTGTTGGTGCCTTCATACTTGTAAGTGTGGAATTTTTACGCTAACCTGCTTCTTCCTGACTTTAGTTTTGCTTCATTGTCAAATGCTGGTTTGTTGAGGTCGCCGCCCACCGGCTCAATATATTTGATTGGATTTGTCTATGTTTTGTGATATAATCAACGACCAAGGTCAATTTTTTAAGTTACTTGTGAACTAAGCTGTACTATTATATATCATGGCTTCTCCAATTTGACTTTTGCTGTACACATTTTCCACAGCCCTAGAAGGAAGCCATAGCAGTCCTTGACAATGGCAAGTGCTGCGGAAGAGCTTGATCAGCTCATGATCCGACCCCTGGGGGCGGGCCAGGAGGTTGGTCGTTCCTGCATTATGCTTGAGTTCAAGGGCAAGAAGATCATGTTGGACTGTGGCATTCATCCCGGTCTGTCTGGCATGGATGCCCTACCATTTGTGGACATGATAAATGCTGAGGAGATTGACCTCCTGCTGGTCAGTCACTTTCACCTGGACCACTGTGGCTCACTGCCATGGTTCCTTCAGAAGACCACGTTTAAGGGGCGCTGCTTTATGACACACGCCACAAAGGCCATCTACCGCTGGCTGCTGGCTGACTACATCAAGGTCTCCAACATTGCCACGGAGCAGATGCTGTACACAGAAGCCGACCTGGAGGCCACCATGGACAAGATCGAGACCATCAACTTCCACGAGGAGAAGGACGTGCGCGGCGTCAAGTTCTGGGCGTACCACGCGGGCCACGTGCTCGGCGCGGCCATGTTCATGATCGAGATGGCCGGCGTGAAGATCCTGTACACAGGTGACTTCTCCAGGCAGGAGGACCGCCACCTGATGGTGGCCGAGATGCCCACCGTCCACCCAGACGTGCTCATTATCGAGTCCACCTACGGCACACATGTCCACGAGAAGCGTGAGGACCGCGAGAACCGGTTCACGGGCGTGGTGCACGATATCGTGTCGCGCGGCGGCCGCTGTCTGATCCCCGTGTTTGCGCTGGGCCGCGCTCAGGAGCTGCAGCTGATCCTGGACGAGTACTGGATGGGCCACCCGGAGCTGCACGACATCCCCATCTACTACGCCTCGTCACTCGCCAAAAAGTGCATGGCCGTGTACCAGACGTACGTGAACGCCATGAACGAGCGCATCCGGCGTCAGATCGCCGTCAACAATCCGTTCGTCTTCAAACACATCCAGAACCTGAAGGGCATCGACCACTTTGACGACGTGGGCCCGTGTGTGATCATGGCCTCGCCGGGTATGATGCAGAGCGGCCTGTCGCGAGAGCTGTTCGAGTCGTGGTGCACCGACCCCAAGAACGGCGTCATCGTGGCCGGCTACTGCGTGGAGGGCACGCTGGCCAAGCACCTGCTCTCCGAGCCTGACGAGGTGAACACCATGTCCGGCCAGAAGCTGCCGCTCAAGATGTCCGTCGACTACATCTCCTTTTCTGCGCACACTGACTACGCTCAGACGTCCGACTTCATCCGACAGCTGAAGCCGCCGCACATCGTGCTCGTGCACGGCGAGCAGAACGTAATGTCGCGGTTGAAGGACGCCCTGCTGCGCGAGTACGCCGACGACCCGTCGCGCGGCCCGGTGCAGATCCACAACCCGCGCAACACGGTGGCCGTGTCGCTGCCGTTCCGCGGAGAAAAAGTGGCCAAGGTGATGGGCGGCCTGGCCGTGGAGCCGCCCGCCGACGGCCGCGTCCTCTCCGGCGTGCTGGTGAAGCGCAACTTCAACTACCACCTGCTGTCGCCAGACGAGCTCGGCAAGTACACGGACATGACGCAGAGCCAGGTGTCTCAGCGACTGAGCGTCCATTTCTCCGGCTCTCCGCAGCTGCTGCAGTACATCCTCTCAAGCCTGTCGGCCGACTTCGAGACCACCAAGGGCAAGTACCAGTGGCGGCTGTTCCGCGCCGTCACCGTCACCCTGGACGGCAAGACGGCCATCCTCGAGTGGGTGGCCAGTCCCGGCGGCGACATGCTGGCAGACGCCGTGCTCGCAGCGGTCCTCAAGGCGGAGACGACCCGCGTGGACGCGCCCACCCGGCCGGCCAAGTTTGACCGGATGCACTACAAGGAGTGCCTGATCGAGACGCTCCAGGAGATGTTCGGGGACGAGGCGGTGCCCAAGTTCTTCAAGGGCGAGAAGTTCCACGTGACGTGCGGCGGCCGGCGCGCGGACATTGACCTGACGGACATGTCGGTGACCTGTGAGGAGGACGAGGTGTTCCGCAGTGCGGTCCTGACGGCCGTCACAAAGCTGTACCAGTCGCTGTCGCCGGCCACCCTCAGCAGAAATGACTGAGCCGCGCTTGGCTAAAGTGGCTGGTGTGAGAGGTGTTTGTGAACTGTGAGACCAAACTGAGTTGGTGAGAAGTGTGACTACGAGTATGTGAATACCTAGGGAGGGAGGGGAGGGTTGAAGCTGACTGTGTGTTGTAGACGTGATGTGGAATGTCATGTGTCTCGTTCGGAATGTCATGTGCCAACGCATGACATTCACATGACAGTGTTGTCTATCATTGTGCGTATTTTTCGGGTCGTTTGAGACCAGTCAAAAGCTCATCTGAAGCATCGTTCATCTGATGCTTCCCCACTATATCGTCATGCAGCGCATTTGTTTTGTGAGAATATCACTGTTGTTTGTAATAAATGCCGAGACTCAATATCCGCTTACGGCTAGTTCACGCCGACGCTAGTGGGCTGGTTGCTGGGCCGAGGTTTGGTGGTAGAATGAATGACGATCTTTTTAGCTTTAGCCAGTGAAATGAATCCAATCTAATAGTTGAATTTGCTCCTTTCGACCAAATCGTTTTGCAGCCTGATCGTAAGAAATAGTGTTGCGGAATGAATCACCGGCTAATGATTTGCTTACACGAAAGATACAATCTCGTGGTCAATTCTTACAACTTATGTCGATTTCCTGGTATTGTAATTGTATTCAAATGTCTAATCAAATCGTTTCTTGTCACTTGAACAGAACGCACCCGTTTGGCTTGATCCTGGCCAGGGCTGCAGAGTCGATGGATTTTCGGCGACTACGACTCCGACTCCGGCTTTCGAAAACCAGCTCCGACTCCGGGCAGAATTATCGGCCCCGACCGACTCCAACTCCGACTCCGACTCCACAGACCTAGCAAGGCTGCGGAGTCGATGGATTTTAGATGACTCCGACTACGCCTCCGGCTCCGGGTTCCAAAGCCGACCCCGAGTCCGACTCCGGTCACAACTGTCGACTCCGGCCGACTCTGACTCCGCAGCCCTGACCCTGACCCATGCACTATAATGACCAATGTCGCAAAGTTGCATTGAGCTCAATTTTATTTTAATTAATTTCCACTCAAGGGCCTAAATCACTCGAAAACAAGGCATAGGGGCCAGTAAAACGAAACCTGCATTTTGCTAACGTTCATCCAATCAGGATCAATATTCTACTTTGACCTTTCAAATGCCGAATAAACACCAGTCTGCTTCGTTGTGCGTATGGAAATTGGAAACCCTTTGATGACACACTGCTAATATTTTTATTATATATTAGTATCATAGTGGAAGTAAATATCAAGGCTGTACACAGGTGAACGTTGCCAGCACAAACAGTCCATTGTCTAATGTCTTCGGAAGGTGGGGCGGCCGGCCGCCCTCTCGGCCCTCAGATTACGCCCCGGGGGCATGAATCACGTGACCCGTTGAGCGTAGCCGACGACAGATGCCGCTTTTGATTAGGTAATGCCGTAATGGCGGTAATGCGGGCCGTGAGTTATGAGAGTGAGTGTTTCGTGCTTGAAAGTTTGACAACGACGACGACTGCGTGAGCTGTGAGTTGAAACTACATTTGGTGATCAGCTTGTGCGATTATGAATGGTGTAAAAAGACAGTAGTTAGTGCTTGGCGATCGCTGCAGGACGAAACTTGAACTGTCTTGAAAATAACCAGGTTGAGGTGCAGTGGTTGCAAGCCTTGCCTTCCGGACTCAGACTCAAGCGTAGCCGGCTACCGAAGAAGTCCCGATATCCCGTGGATCAACCTATGGTAAGTACCGGTCGTTCCCTGTTCAATATGTGTGTGCATCGCTGGGTCAGGAGAGGGGAAGAGCTTCATAGTTCATACTTCATGCTTCATCTTTCTCTGGGCCCTGATCTCGACCTTTTTATCCCGTTTTCCTCAATCAAATAGGTGGGTATTGACTGAGCCCTTTCCATCGCCTGGCGATGCATGGTTGATTACTTTTAATCTGGCCAGAAGTGGTTGGGGCATAAGGTGCATTTGATTATTATTTGAGGAAAGAAAACTATCATACCAGATTCGCAGGAGAGAGGCGTTCCAACGGGTAGAAGCATGCTACATGCGCGCCATCTGTGTGACGTGCGAGAGCTTCTGTAAACTATTCTCGAACTTGGCTATAGATGACGCTGTGATCGCGGCCGTGCTCCGTCAAGAAACAAAACCAGCCGAATGTAGCAGTGAACGTTATGTCACGCCATCGGCCTACCATAAATTTATTCTCCGCGCTCAGATGCAGGTGCTTTGGAGGATATGTGACCAGCACCGGGTCCAAATGTAGGGGAACAGCTGGTGTTTGATTAACCCGCGCCCCACTGGGGTCAGTGTATAACGCGCCCTAACGCGGGGGGGGCTCTTCATAGCCCCCCCGTCCTAACTTCGAAACAACTGGGCCGATCGTCAAAATACAAAGTCATTAGATAGCCCCGGAAAAACTGGTTTACGGAACCTAATTTCATTGACCTCGAGGTCACCGATGACGTCACAGGTCAGGTCAAAGTAAAAATTATCAATGTTTGGCTTGTTCACATTTTGGGCTCTGGTCGCCGGTTTACAAGTCAGATCAAGTTCATTTTTGGTTTACGCACTCGTGAACAGATGCTTTAGATACCCTGAGGGTAACAAACTTGAACTTTAATTTTCAGGTCAAGAATTCAGGTCATCACAGGTCACGAAAATCTTATATCATATATCGGTCACGTGACAAATACTTTATGATCCATTCAGGCCATTCCGCCATAGATTTCGAATTTGATGTCGTTTATGTCATTCGAGGTCATTTTGAGCTGAATTTAGCTTAGGTCAGGCCACTTTCAGGTAAAAAAGTCAAATAAATTTTAAGTTGAAATTTTTCAACAAAAAAGTTGTCTATTCGATGCAGTTTGAGCTCAGAAACAGGATGGTGCTATTTATATTGGGGCACAACGTCAAATAGGCGTACCTACTGAAAAATTGATTTGAAAAATATATAATTGTGAATTTTTTTGCTACCTAGGTATACCTAATGCGTACCATAGACCTCTGTACAGAGGTCTATGTGTACAGAGGTCTATGTGCGTACCTACGAGTATACCTATACCTTGGCCATTTTTGAAGATATCTGGCTAAAACTTGCTAGAGCAAGTCATAAGCATGTATTCTATCACAGATAGGTATTCCGTTTTTTCGAAAGTCAAAAACGTTTTGAAAAAGGATGAAAATATAAATTTTCAATTTTAATGTATACCTAAAAAAACTTTCTAAACTTTCCAATTTTTGAAAATCCGAGATAGTAGTTTGATAGCACAGTCTATTCTGAGTCCTTTCATGCAAAGAAATTGGATCTAGCTTAACCCTCGCCCGCACATGGGGGGGGGGGGGGGTGGTTGCCACCCCCCCCCCCCAGGCAGTCTTTCTGCTCTGCACTCAACACTTTTAGAGCTAGAAGGCTGATTTTTCGTATAGCTGCTCGTCTATCCTTTCTTGATGTCCACTGAAAATTTCAAGTTTCTGTGATTTTTGGTTTCGGAGATATGACCTTGTTTTTCAGGTCATGTCATGACCCAAATGGCCAATTCTCAACATCTTGCGTTTGCCATGGGCCTTGTGAGCTTTTGACACCCTGATTTCGGCCTTTTTTGCCAGTCTTGCCTCCCACCTATCATGGAACATGTTGTTCGACGATGTACAGGGGTCAAGGTCAGGGTCAAGGTCAACCTAGGTCATCTAAGATAATTGCGTTTTAGGCAAGCTAAATTTACTTTTTGTGAAGTTTTTTGACTGCATTTTTGGTAATAGCTTCTCAGATCATGATTTCATGTGATATGGACCCAAAAACAATCGGTGCACACATCAGTATACCTACACACAGACACACACAGACATACAAACACATATAATTGACCTTGACCTAACTTGACCTGAAATGACCTCAGCAGCAAAATTCTGGTCGGATAGTGTGACAAAGAGGTTCTAGCTGGCTTGGCACCAGAAAACAGCATCGTCATCGGTATTTGATAGCAGCGCACTTGATATCCAACGGTGACCCAAAACAACAACATTTTTTAGTTTGACCTGACCTGGAAGGTCAATGACTGACCTGAGAAGGTAAAACTGGGTATCATTGGATTCGTCTCTTCCCAAAGAATCTTTTTGGTCTTTACTGCTAAGCTCTATCTCCAACAGGAACGAAATGGCGCGGGGGGGGGGGGTGGCAACCCCCCCCCCCCATGTGCGTTCTAGGATGGGAAAATGGCATGTGCGGGCGAGGGTTAAAAACTGAGCTCTTGGGAGCGGTTGCCGTGGTTCAATGTTTTGCGTCGAAATCTGCCGAACATGACGTCACTCTGACGTCATTTCCGGCCGACCTATGGTAGCTTGTAGCTACGAAGTTCATATTTTGACACAAGGTGTTAAATTGATGCAGCCGATGGTACTGAAAGTTTGGCGTTGATACGTCAAGCGGTTTGGAAGTTATTGCAGAAAACGTTAGGGGGGGGGGGGGGGGTGTGTGTGCTATGAATAGCCCTCCCATCAGTGGGGCGCGGGTTAACATTATCTAGGTCGGAACTGGCTGAAGTAGGTAGACGTGGAAGTGAAGAAGGGTGGGAATGCTAGCAGAGTGTAAGAAGACTGAAGAAGGAAGAAGGTTAGCGAACTAGCAGACATGACAGTGTTCTCCAGTGATAACGGGCTCAGGGAGCTGGCCCAAGGTGTTTTCAATTTGTAGGTATTCAGCATGTTTACTTCAATGGAATTCCGAAACACTTCCCTTCTCTCAGCGAAATATTTTGCGAATATTCTTCGCTTTCCTCGCAACGAAATAGAACTCAACGGCTTCATCAGAGAACTTTGGATGCTGGAAAACACGATTATTTTTCTTTTTACTAATTCGACCCCTTATTTTCGATATCCAGCCGAGGTTAGGATAGGCGCTTGGTAGGACTTGGTTTTTGCTGCTTACGAGCCGCCACAAATCCTTGTATTTGGGCCGGTACTGGTTGTCCGTCCGTCCCCGTTGTCTTCATGTTGTCTTGATGGGTCGTTAGGGTGGGGTGAGGGGTGGGTTGGGGTCTAGTCCTAGCTATATCTTATGCATGCAAACAAAGGCCATATTTTAAACAGCGGGCACAGAGGCAGCCCGCACAAGACTGAAGCATCAGTTAATCAATAATCACTGTTTTTTTTTTTCTCGAATAAACTGTGTCCTGCCCCGAGAAGCCCGGTAACGCCCCTGCCAGGCCCTCTGGGAACACCAGTCCTCAAACTGAGAACTCGAGCGGTGCTGTTGACCGAACCCGCTTCAGTCAGCCGACTACCAATGAGAAGATAATCGTGAATAGTAAAAAGGACAGACGCTTTAGAAGCCCCATTGCCCCGTTCTTAATCTGCATGCGGTACTTATG